TTTCTTTAAGAACATTTTCCATATCTGGTCCTCCTTATTTCCAAGGTAGCGAACCATCATTTTAATTCTAATTGCTTTTATTTTCCTTCTTAAATTGATCACTTTAACCCTCCATCCCTACACTCATTTTCTAACACTTCTCTAGCTATCTTTACCCCCCCTCCCACCCCCATATAAACTCACTAACTATCTTATCTATTTCATTCACTACACTATCCGGCACATCTAAAACTGTCATTATATAAAGTGCCCTACTCATAATTAACCCATTCACTACAACTATCTTCCCCCTCAACTTAAGCCCCCTCATCTTCCAAAACCTCAACGTCTTCACTAAACCATTCACTAACTCTACATACTGTCTGTCCCTACCCTCCACATCTTTAATTCCCACATTGATCCCCAACACCCTAAAATAATCCTTATTTTCCTTCAACCCTATATCACAACTCCTATCCCTCACCTGTCCTATATACATAATCTCTGACTTTTCTATATTCACCCTAGCTCCTGATGCCCTACCATACAAACTAACTGTCTTCAACACTTCCCTAACACTTTCCCTATCTTTAACTGTAATGGTGGTGTCATCCGCATACTGATAAACTAAACTAACCCCCCCTCCTGGCACCTCCACTCCTTTGATATACCTGTTTTGCCTCAGCAGCGTCGCTAGGGGCTCGGCTGACAGCGCATAAAGCATTGCTGATAGAGGGCATCCTTGCCGGACAGACCTCCCTAACTTAAACACATTGGTTACCACCCCATTCATCTTAACACAACTGACTGCACTACTATAAATCCTCCTTACCCACCCTATTAATCTTTTCCCAAACCCTGCCTTCTCTAACACTCTATACAAGAAACCATGACTAACCCTATCAAAAGCTTTATTTAAATCTAAACTAACTACTATCCCACCCTTACCCTCCTTCATGTGACTAATTTTGTCCCTAATACTACTAATAGTGTCACAAATATCTCTCCCTGGAATACTATACGCCTATGTGTTCCCCACTACTGATTTTATAACCCTCTTAATTCTATTTGCTAACACCCGTGCTAGCACCTTATAATCCGTGTTTAACATACTAAGTGGCCTATAGTTTTCTAACTTCTCCCTATTTCCTTTCTTAAACAATATACTAATTATCCCTGTAGATATGCCTGCCGGCAATTCGTCCCTCTCCTCCAAGCTCTTGTACAGTTTAAGGAGTATTGGTGCCAACCCCTCCCTAAATTCTACATAGAATTCAGACGTCAGACCATCTATCCCTGGACTCTTATTCCTACCCAGACCTGCTATAGCTAATTCTATCTCCCCTAATCCTATCTCCCCCTCACATATGTCCCTACCTTCATCACTCAATCTCGCTTCCATACTATCTATCACCTGTTCTAAGCTCTCCCTATCAATCTCCTCCGCCTCAAATAACTCCCTATAAAATTCCTCAACTCTCTCAGCAATCCCTACAAAATCTGATATTATTTCTCCTCCCTTTCCTTCAACCCTCTCTATATTATTCTTTCTCTGCTTTACCTTCTCTAGCGCCAAAAAACCCCCTGTACTTTTCTCTCCCTCAACTGCATACCTAGCCCTACTTCTTATTATAGCACCTCGACACTTTCTCTTCTCTATCTCCCCCAACTCATCCTTCAACCGACTATACTCATCTATATCTCTCCCTATTTCTATATCTACCTTTTTAGCTTCCACCTTTAACTCTTCCCTAACCATTTTCTCTTTCTCTCTTTCTATTTTATTCCTATTTTTACAAAAACCTATACTTATCCCTTTTATTTCATTTTTAAACCCCTCCCAACACACTCCCACATCCTCACCATTCAAGCCTCCCCTTTTTTCTATACATTCTCTCACTTTAACCTTATATCCATCATCCTTCAGCAGACAGGCATTTAAGCACCACACTCCCCCTCCCTTTTCTCACTGTTCCAATGCAGAAACTCAATATGTTGTGATCACTCATGGCAGTATTCCTATATTCAATTCTGCCAATTTTCTCCCCTAAATTACTCCACACTAAATCTATTCTACTCTGTTTTAATATCCCTCCCACCACTTGATTCCTAGAAAACACCCTCTCCCTACTATTCCTTTCCCTCCACACATCCAACAGCCCATTTGTCCCCATTATTGTTTTGAGTGCACCACGTGATGAATCACTATTATTCACAGACACATCCAGCTTCGAACACCACACATTGAAATCACCAACAATCATACATTTTCCCCCACATTTATCCTTCAACCCTTCAAAAAACTCCCTCCTCCCTCCTTGTCTCATTCGGTGCATAAACGTTTATTAAATTAATGTTTCCCCCATACATTCAAACATTATCCCAACCATTCTCCCAACACCATCATCCTTAACTTTCCTTATATTCGTTACCACCCCTGTTTTAATTAATATTGCCACCCCTCTAGCACCCACACTCCCATTATTTACATACATTTCTCCCATCCATTCTTTCCTTACATCCTCCACACACCTTTCATCCCAATGTGTCTCTTGCAAGCAAATGATGTCTGAGTCGCATATTATTAAGGCCTGCTCTCTCCTGTCCTTTGACCTCAGCCCATTCCCATTAAAAGAGGAAATTGTCACCATTACAAGTGTTATTAATGTTATTATTTTTTTCATTCTATTTATTTTTTGTCCGGACCCTTTGCAGCTCCTCCTTTCGCTTTCACCCGTCTTCTCTCCACCACTTTCTCCTTATCGTCTTTCCTCTTTGCATTCAGCCTGCTGGATTCTCTCCTCATCCCTCTGCTCTTTGACCCAGCATTCGCCTCGCCAAAGATCTTCTCCTTTATGGGCCCTGTTATCTCCACCTCCTCGTCCTCAGACTCGTTCTCCTCGTCGTCTCCTCCCTCCTCCTCCATGTCCGACACAACCGAGCTGCCCTCCATTCCCTCAGCCATCTGTCCTCCACCTCCTCTCCTTCGCTCCTCCCACCGACAGCTCCTCCTCCATCCTCAGGATCAGGTTCACCTTCAACGTCCGCTTCAGCCTCGGTATCATTTTCTGCCCCCAGAATAACATCCACCTCTGCTTCAGTCTCAGCCAAACCTTCACCACTCCTCGCAGTCTGTCCATCGTCCACAGCAGCCGGAACAGCAGCAGTATTTGCTTTGCTACTACACATGTTCCCTTCGTCTGCTTTCCCCTTCTTCCTCGCTCCATCTCCTCCACCTCCCATGGCAGCCTCATCAGCTGCCCTCTTTGCATCAGCCGCCACAAACACCGCCGCGACAGCAGCCACAGCTTCCTCGTTCATCCTGCTCCCAGCCTTATCATGTATATCCTCTTCTTCACTTTCTTCCTGACTTCCACCTTCCTCTTCCTCCATTCCATTCTCCACTTTATTTTCCGCCTGTGCACTTTCTCTCCCCCTGGCTCCGCTCGCCCCCTCCTCCCGAGTCACACAGTCCCGGCATAGTGTCCCTGTTTCGCACATTTATGGCATTTAAACTCAGGGCATTCTCTGTATAAATGCCCTGGCCTTATGCACATCCTGCAGACCGGTACTTGCTTGTCATGAATCACCCTAAAGTATTCCGGCCCCTCTAGAGTCTCGAACCTTGTGGAGTAAGGAAGTGACCGCACTTCCTTGTTGAACTCCACTCTCAAAAACCTCGTCCCATCAACCACATCAGTGCCGGGCCACATCCTTCTCTTTATTGTCGAGACAGGCAGAACCCCCCACATTGCCAATCTGCCTTTTATTGAACTGTCCAATATATACGAAGGTATATTTAAGAATGACACCGTGAGCTCTTTGTCATGCAGTCTCTGCCCCGCACCAAAGCCCCATTGATTCGTATTCCATCCAACAGTTTATTTTTTCCTTTTTCTTCAGCCATTGTCACTTCATATAGCCCATTTCCTTTAACCCGACACCCCATCACAATTCCGCATTCTTTTTTAACTCCTTTTAGCAAATCCATAACAGTTACTGCTTTTCCACTCTCCACCGTCACCACAACTGTAAGCTCCTTTTTATATTTTTCCTCCTCCACATTCAACTCAAACAGCTCTCTCACCTCCTTTTGTTTTCCCACTCCCGTTTTTTCATTTTGTCCATTCGCATTTCCGCTGTCATTTTCCATTCCTTTTTCATTCACTGATGTCCCGTCTTTCTCCGTACTCTGCTGTAATTTGTCAATGTCCGTGATCCGTGACGCAGTTGATAATTCCATTCCCGTTTTCTTTGCCAGTTTATCCGTCCGATCGAAAAAAAACACACAGGTCAGGGGAAACCCCCAGCCAGCAAGGCTGTTTGGGGGTGACTCAGAACAACAAAAAAACACAACTATAAGTTTGACGAAACAAAATATATCCACAAAACAAACAATTCACTTCTTTCCTCCTCAGACCAAAGTCACGCACGTCCGCTCACAGTCCAAGCCCCTACTGACTGAGCCACTGCCGGAAATATGCATAGTGGAATTTTCCAATGAATTAATAATTTTTAACAAAAGTTATTTAACAGTTGGAAATAGTGCATTTGAAGAGTACTATTATCAGCTGTAAATACATTTACATTTAGTGCTCTATTGACAAGTTAAGATATAATGAAATATAATGTAAAACCTCAGCACAGGAAGTAGGGGGGGGGGGGGGGGGGGGTATTAAAGAGAGCTTATATACTTTTAAGTCTGCAGGCATCACAGATTGCATTCTTCAAAATTAATAATTTAGTAACGTTCTTGTGTGTTACCATGTCATCAGCAAAGTCTGTAAGCAAAGTCTCCTATTGCAGTAACTTGTTGAGGTTTGTAAAATAGCAGATCAGAACTTTATTCAACATCCTGCCCCCTGGGACAGACTGAACAAAAATGGTGATTCTAAAAGAGAACTGACACAGAGCAAATGGTTACCGTGCATGCACCACAACCACAATTTCCAAGGATCGATTCCAGCCAACTATTTGTGTGTATGCCTAACTGTGTGAGATATCATTTGCTCTGCCACTAGGGAATGGTACATGAATGGAAACTACCTCATTATGATCGTCTCCATCTGCATCATCTTCCCACTGGCCCTGATGAAACACCTGGGTATGCCACATCACTTCATGTTATCATACTAGAACTCCTCAGACAGCTTGTTGAAACAAGACATCACCTAATTTAAGTCTTTGACAGAACTTAACCTAACTCATACGGAGACAAATGATAGATGCTGCTCTCCAATAGGACACAGAGAAGCCAAAGGAAAATCAAACTGCATAAAATCTGTTTCACTAACATAACTCACAACAGAGCGCCTACAGCAGGGGTGTCCAAACTACGGCCCAGGTCCGTTTTAATTGGCCCTCAGCTAATTGTTAAAGTATAATGGAATATGACCCACACCTGAAACTCGTGCTTCACTTATAATGTTCTTCTTAAATATATCGAAACATATATGACACAGTATTCATGTGTTAATAAGCCACTTTTTTTGATGATAATATTTTCCAACAAATGTTATTTGATCAAAAAAGCCCAATAACTTATCTGCATAACAAGAAGTAAACCCTTCCTATTTCCCCGGTTCTCAGTTGTGTCTGAGAGTTGTCTTCTTGCTCACTGCAGGGTATCTGGGTTACACAAGTGGCTTCTCTATCTCCTGCATGGTCTTCTTCCTGTCTGCGGTGAGTCTGGGGGTAGTATCAGTGTAATACTTTATTCCTATGTTTACTGTGGTGCTGGAGAAATGATTTGTTCTCCAAATCTCCAGCTATGATTTAGTGAACTCAGGGCGACTTGTACTCTGTGTGTGGAAATCAGTAGCACTGGTGAATATATCCACCAGGAGGAGCACGTTTACCTAGATTCAACTGGGTGTTTGTGTTCTTCCCACACAGAGACAAATCAAATCAAATCAAATGTTATTTGTAGAGCACATTTAAAAACGATTTTGGTCGAGCCAAAGTGCTGTACATGTAATTTAAACACATAAAAACACATTACATCACAATAAAAGACAATAAATCACAACAGATAAAGACAGACCATTAACATCTTATATTTAATTTTTTTATATTTGTATTATAATTAGTGAGACATTGATGTTTATCACTTTAAAGTTGCAGATGTTTCATTTAAACTGCTCGGAAGTTTAATGAAATATTATACCCTATTTGCACATAGATAATTGATAGAAAGTGTACAAGAGTGTATCTGTCTGTCCAGCTGCAGATGGAGAGGGAGGGGTATCTGTCTGTCCAGCTGCAGGTGGAGAGGGGGGGGGGGGGGGTATCTGTCTGTCCAGCTGCAGGTGGAGAGGGGGGGGGGGTATCTGTCTGTCCAGCTGCAGGTGGAGAGGGGGGGGGGGGTATCTGTCTGTCCAGCTGCAGGTGGAGAGGGGGGGGGGGGTATCTGTCTGTCCAGCTGCAGGTGGAGAGGGGGGTATCTGTCTGTCCAGCTGCAGATGGAGAGGGAGGGGTATCTGTCTGTCCAGCTGCAGGTGGAGAGGGGGGGGGGGGGGGGGGGGGGGGGGGGGGCTGGGGGTTGGTATCTGTCTGTCCAGCTGCAGGTGGAGAGGGGGGGGGGGGGTATCTGTCTGTCCAGCTGCAGGTGGAGAGGGGGGTATCTGTCTGTCCAGCTGCAGATGGAGAGGGAGGGGTATCTGTCTGTCCAGCTGCAGGTGGAGAGGGGGGGGGGGGTATCTGTCTGTCCAGCTGCAGGTGGAGAGGGGGGGGGGGGGGGGGGGGGGGGGGGGTATCTGTCTGTCCAGCTGCAGGTGGAGAGGGGGGGGGGGGGTCATCAATGATGGACAACAGTTTGTTAAAAGCATAACAGCTCATGAACAATGGATTAAATGACTGTTTGTTACGTAAAAGACTAAAGGTGCATGTAAATCCATTTCTTTTTAGCACAGTCAAAGCATATTTCATGGTTTTTACTAACTGGTATCAAAATGCTGTTATTTCGGCACCATTTTGATACGTGCATTACAATAATTGGAGATACATGGAGATAAGCCCTGTATCTTCAAAACTGTGATGTTGTCCGGTGTGAACACACCTTTAAAGTTTCAAACCCATTCCTTACTGTCCACAATTTCACTGGTTTGGTTCAGTCTCTCTGCTAATCAACCACCAGCACCAGCAGACTGTTTGAGCCACTGTACACTCCCTGCACACAGTTAGAGACTAGCTGGGGGACATAGTGGAGCATGGATGTGGAATGGATGGTCTGTTTGCCTGTTTGCTAACGAATTAACTTAGGTAAAGGTAATCATTAAGTGCCATGTGCAAAAACTCAATATAACAACAACGGAGATATAGAGACGAAGAGCTAAAATACAATATTTTAGGGAGATTCCAAATAGTACCAACATGTATTTTCTTTAGTAACCAAAGGCAAGAAATATAGCATTTGTTCTCCCTCCTCAAACTCTCTTTATCTACATCAGGTCATCTATAAGAAGTTCAACATTGCATGCCCTCTGGAAGTGTTTGGCAACCACTCTGTGAACGCAGTCTTCCTGGAGGACACATGCACTGCCAAATACTTCACCATCAATCAAGAGGTCAGAGAGTTTATGATCTGGAACTATTAGTGGGTGCATCATATTTCACAGGGAGTTTATGAAGTTACTGTGTTATTTGATTTAAAGACGGCGTATACCATCCCCATCCTGGCATTTGCTTTTGTTTGTCACCCTGAAGTGCTTCCCATCTACACCGAACTGAGCAAGTACGATGCACACTTCCTGATATTCACATACAGTGTGCATGAAAAAACATTCATGCCTGTGAGAGTCAAAAGGGAATACTCTTTGGTTCATACCCTTTCCTGCCTTTTAAAGGTGCAGGAGTTGATGATGCTCAAAATTGAAATAATATTTTCTAGTCACCTTGGGTCCAATCTTTGTGGTTTTGTGCCATCGGAAGCTGATGGAAAAATACCGTTTATATATTTATATAATTTTTTTAAATAAGTATACCTAAAATGTCTAACCTGGACAGTAGTTTACAGCTTCATTTTCAGATTTGTTTATATTATTTTCTTAAAAGAAACGTTTATAATAGCCATGCTTCACTCTCTTTCATTTTTTTACTGTACTGTTTTATAACACCTGCCATCTTTTCCCCTAAAGCCCAACCAAGAGAAGAATGCAGAATATTGGCAATGTCTCCATCCTGGGCATGTTCACCATGTACTTCTTCACAGCCATATTTGGATACCTGACCTTCTTTGGTAAGAGTGACAGATCTTTAAGTCTGCAGAACATAGCTCAGTCTAGTAAGGTGACACAGGTTTTGTATCTTTGTGTGTGTGTGTGTGTGTGTGTGTGTGTGTGTGTGTGTAGGGAACACTGAAGCAGAGCTGCTCCATACCTACAGTAAGGTGGACCCCCTGGACACTCTGATCATGTGTGTCCGACTGGCCGTCCTGGTGGCTGTCACTCTGACCGTTCCTGTTGTCTTGTTTCCTGTAAGAACATGCGTGGCCTTCACGCTCATCCATCTGATGTACTCTATGACACTGACCTGAACTGCCTGTCGCTCTGTCTCAAATTGCGTACTTCTTTATTTGCTGTTTCGAGTGCATAAGTGCGTCCCATTGCAAAATATGGCAAGTTAAGAAAGTTATACATTCTTTTAAAACACTTTTAAAGTAAAATACCACTTAACTGGCGTTGAAAATAAGCCACTGTTAATGCAAAGGGTAAATTGCTTAATCTGCAATGCTAACAGAAGCAATGTCATGTTCTGGCAGGGCACAGCTGCTGTGTACAATTTGAGACAACACTACGCGATCAGAATTCATGCACTGCATACGCTTTCACAGTGCAGGACATGCAGTATACTAAGGGAAGGTGTTGTGTCCATGTATGGAATGCCATTTAAGCCAAAATGAAATAAATACATAAATAATTAAATAAATACATATATATATATATATATATAAATATGCCTATGAAATAAATAAATGAGGCAATAAATATGTATACATGTACATTTAAATACAAATTTATTTATTTCATGGGACTTGTATTTCATAATGACACATTTCCATTTCTTATATGCAAATGAACGGGGCGTGGTTAGCTCACAGATCCAGACCAAAGCAACAGCACCACAACACTGACTCAATAGCTCTTGTTTCACACTCCAGGGTTGCGTTCCGATAATCCAAAAATCAGCTCCTAAATTCTAACCCTATCTCCTATTCCTTGACCTCTGAGTGAAACGTCACGGGGTTAAGGGATAGTGGATAGGAGAAGTCAAAAGGACTTAGGAGAAGAGACTGCTGTACTTTAGAGAATCCGAATGCACTTTCACTATCCGACGTGTTTATGATGCGCCAGCGGACGTCATGAATGTGCGTCTGCTGCTGTGGAAATAAAAAAGGAAAGTGAAACTTATGCTCGTCACCCTCTCCCTCCGGTCCACATTAATACAAATGATCCCAATACGTATGATTGTATGAACAGATCTTAAAATCAATACAGATGTATTTATTATAAACGTTAGTCCTTAACATCTATCACTGTGTACATCACCATTCAAACATCTTTTAAAAGTTGAACAAACCCCACACAGCTCAGTAAAGACTGTGAGATGTTGACTTTATTTGATCATTTCAGTAAAAACTAACGTTTATATTTCTCTTTTTGATTATAATACTGATGAACGTTCAAAACAAAGCACTTTGGCAACTTACCACATACGTTTTAAAATGCTTAATAAGCACCGTAACTTTCATGATATAATTTCTCCGTCATAATCGGTTGTTTTCGTGAATGGCCGACTGTTGAGTGACGGCAAATGCTGCGGCTGCAATGCATTGTGGGGCAGCATTTTCTCCTCTCCTTTCGTCATTGGAGGTCCAGTGGTTCCTAAGCTAAAGGAGGTTATAAAGGAAGTTTGAAACCTCCTTTCCTTTCATTTAGAGAATTGGAACAGCACTTATCATGGCTGCCACTGACGTACTTCCGGGTCATTTCACTCCGTTAGGAAGGTTCCTAAGCTAAATGGACTATTGGAACGCAACCCAGTACTCTTAAGTGGTTTGCAAACTGCCAATAAACCAAACCGGTTCTGGTTCAAGAACCGTTCTTGTGCTTTTCAACCACACACTTATACAAAAATAACACACTTTATAAAGTCAGGCAACACTAACTAGGCTTCGTGTGATTCTGTCTATTTGTACCTTACTTTGACCATCCGTTCACTGTCATTGATCATTGTGGAGAGCAGGCAGAAGTGTTGTTTTGTATTATAGCAGCTGTCAGATGGAATCAATACATGGACTGCACAGGTTGTGCTGTCGGACTATCACAAGTAGAATCATAATGAAAGGTCAAATGCACCTGTAGAAAACGGCTTATGCCACAATAGGATAGCAACAAGTAGTCAAGATAGTCAGTTTAGCTTCGGTTGCTGTTGCATAACTGCGGTCAACTCAGCCGTCTCTCGCGTTCGCTCGGTCAAATCAGCAGCTATTCATTTTTGAGTGCGCAATGAATAGCGCCTTCACTGTAATCGCTGGATCTGTGAGCTAACCACGCCCCGTTCATTTGTATATAATAAATGGAAATGTGGCATTATGAAATACAAGTCCCATGAAATAAATAAATGTGTATTAAAATGTACATATTATTGCCTCATTTATTTATTTCATAGGCATATTTATATATATATATGTATTTATTTAATTATGTATGTATTTATTTAATTTTGGCTTAAATGGCATGTATCCCTGTGGACTTTGACGGGCAGCTAAACACCTTCCACCATCAAGCACTGGAGATCGGAGTAGTTGTTTATAATCAGTTTAAGACGGAAAAAGGCTGAAACTTAGAAATAAAACACAATACAATAGACACATAAATATCTAGAAGAATAGTTACAATCGCTATAAAACAATAAGTTGGAGAAATGCCAGAGAATATACACACACATGGATTTTTTTCAAACCCAAAAATTATCTTTTTATAGATTTAACTTACCTAACATATTTAGAAGAAATAAAATAAGATTATGTTTGTAATATATGTACCAACCAAGAATGCAACCAAAGGAGTGGTCACGAGGATTGAAGAAGATTGTCACATGGTATATTGGTCACATGGTAGAACTTTATCACAAATGAACTACTGCCAGCAGGGGGCGATACATCTAACTAAATGAAGAAGTATTCAAATTGAGAAACAGCATGCGTATTAGGTTGGTTGCTCCATGGACTGGCTCTGATACCTGTGTAGCTACAGGCTATGTATCCTAACGTCTGTGTTTGTGTCAGATCCGCCGGGCCCTCCTGCAGCTGCTGTTTCCAGGGAGGCCCTTCAACTGGATCCGCCACATCGCCATCGCCCTCTGTCTGCTGTGTGTGGTCAACCTGCTGGTCATCCTCGTTCCCAACATTCGAGACATCTTTGGCATTAGTGGTGGGTTATGAGACTTGGAATTTGGAAATACAAACATTGCTCAAAATACTTCAAATTATTATTATTATTAATGTTTTGTTTTCTTATGAAATTACTTTTCCTTAGGATTTTGCTGATTTTATAACTATTTGAGTTCAATAGACAATAAGAAAACAATTGTCCATTATTTTCCAGTATCTAGAGTTAGAGCAGACATCAAGTTTGTAAAAGTATTTGAGATACGTGGTATTAATTCAGCCTTTAATTTGTATTAGAGGCCTTTAACGTTGTCAGCCACAACAGAGGAGTGATCAGTGCGTTTTGCTCTTGGAGGACAAGGGAAGCCAGGCTTCCCCTGTTTTTTCGGACTGTAGTTATCATTTTAATGAATAAAAAAAACATTTTGTTTAGTTTCGGTAATCCTTCTTTGTTGCTGCCATCTCTCCCCCATTCTCATTGAGTATTTTACAAAGAGTGAAACAGCGCCCCTCTAGATGTTATGGTGAAACAGTATATTGCACTCACAGTAAACTAATTGAGGGATTGACCAATCAGATGAGGCAACCGTCATGCCCCTGCCAACCTGTGATTTTTCAGGGCCATGCCAAGGGAAGCCACCCGCCCTTTGGCTTCACTCCAATTAAATCGTATCATCTTCGTACTGTCATCACCGCCGTTAGCAAGTAGCAACATTAGCAAGTGCAGTTATGGAGGGTAGAGATTTAGTAAAACATAATTAATTATACTAAACTTTCGCTACTTTTTTACTTTTGGACTAATATTCCAGCAGCAAGTCCTCAAAAAAGGCTTTAGTTTTCGAGATACCCCTACCCGAGGTAGAACAAATGATAACAATGTTTTTTCTTATCTTTAGGGTCTCCCATTAATGCAATTGATTGTTGTCAAATTTTATTTTGGGGGAAAAAATGTTTTTTGGGTTGTTCTTTAGAACTACCCCAATCCCTGAAAAAGAGCCAAATTAGACCAGGCCGAATGTGGGAAAGGTGACAAAAAAGCCCATAACTTGAGAATAACCTCTCTTTATCCTCTTCAGATATTTGCTGAGGTATGAACCAGGTGGCTGTCCTACATCACCAAATAGTCAGGCAATTATTTCACTAAAGAAATACTGAATTATAGTCCTGTAAACCTAGCTTTAGTTTAGACGGAAATTGTACTTTTTGGTGATAGGAATATAGGACTCCATCACTTTTCTCTCATTTATCAGAAAAAAAGAAATCCCTAAAAAATATACCATTACTGAATTGTCTAGGGTGCTATTGAACACTAACCAGTAGTTGTATGGAAATATCTGGTACAGTTCTATTGCAAATGAGATTTCTTTAGACATAGGCCTACCTCTTCTCTGATACAGTCAAATTCTGAATGGGGGATAAGTGGTACAATAGCCTATAAGTTAAGAATGCTCACTCTGATGGTCATTATATTTGGAGAGGGAAATACCAGGTGGCTGAACTTCATCACCAAATAGTCAGAATAAGAGTAACCCAATACAAGAAAGTGTATTAGTTCTAAATTGCGAGCTTCTAAAACATAGGTGTAAATAGTACAGGTTGTATTGAAACTGGAACCTTAATTCAAAGTACAGTATACAATTCATCAAATAATTCAGTGAGAGGTCAAGTATATAGATACTAGAATATAATGTTAAATGTCAGGTTCCTAAGAAACGTTAGGGGGCACATTTTGACATTCTGCACAGCAGGTGCAGAACTCCGTACAGAGAGGCACTGGCACTTTCCACTCTCTCCACACTTTGCATCTTTGCAATGCAAGTGAGTAATGTCTCTCACTTCTGTAGGTGCTGGGGGTTTTGTAAATAGCACTGGTTGAATGGCCCCATCTCTGACAATCCACCGCTTGCCAACAGGACTCCATAACAAGGGTTTTGGGTTCGGGCTGTGACACCATATCGCTGTCTGAAACATTGCTCTTTGTACATGTTGTTGAAATGCATCCTCTGTTGGCGGCAGATTTTCCGAGGCTGCATTCTGTTTGTTGATGCAATTATGAACCTCAGTTCTTCAAGTTTGTGCACATCAGTCCAATTTCCTTTTTCTTTTTTCCATATAGCAGAAGCGCTAATTCTCTTGCGACTGGCAAAAACTCTTCCAAGCTGGCAGAGAGTCCAAAATGGGCTAGATCTTTGAGCTCGCTGAGATGGGTCTTGAGTTTGGTGAATGCTGTTGTCTTTCCTATTCTGTACAAACGACTTGTTGTGCCACAGCCAGTGAGTGCACGACATGCTGGTACGACATGTATTTTCCAATTTTCTCACATATGATGTTGATGGGGGACATATCTCTCTCTCATTCCATGGCCTGCATGCATGTAACACTAGAGCAGTGGTTCCCAAAATTGTTGTGCCCAAGGCACACCAAAGGACAAGTAAAAATCTCAAGGCACACCTATTGTGCAAAATAGCCCTTATAACACGTGTTATCACTCATATCATGTAAAATATCTGTAAATGTGCATAATTATTTACTAATGCCAAATAAAATGTGACAAAGACAACTATATTACTCATGAAATATTTATTAACGAAATATCTCAGAAATGAATTTGAAACTTTATCAAATTAGGCTTCATCAAAGCAGCAACACACTCATTTAAACCAGACAGGTCACAACATTAAAAATGAGGCAAAGGAAACTCAGCAGAAATTCAGCACAGAGAACTGTCAATGCAAGGAAGCTGCATTGTCCATGGTCCTGAACCAGGGGCGGACTGGGACTAAAATTCAGCCCTGGAAACTGACCCAGTCCGGCCACATGAAATGTCAAATGTTAGAAATCCGCTGTTTATTGTTTAAAGTTTTACGTCCGACTCGCTCCCTTTTTCCCTCTCTGTGCACAGCTCCAGGTTGGGCATTGGCCTGTCATCAGATTTCATTTTGAGCTGCTTCCTGTAGCGGAAGTTTAGTACAATTATTTTTGATGAAATACTCCAAATCTCCACCCTCCATAATTGCACTTGCTTCAGTTGCTTGCTACTTTTTAAGGGCAATGATGACAGTTACAGTACGAACTGAAGTTGATGCGATTTGATTGGATTGTGAGGCATGACGTGCATCATCTGATTGGTCAATCCCTCAATTCTTTTCACCAAGGGAAGCCAATTTCGGCTGGCCTCCTCTCGCAACAGAGTGCAATCTACTGTTTTCACCATAACATCTAGAGGGGCGCTGTTTCACTCTTTGTAAATACTCAATGAGAATGGGGGAAGAGACGGGCCGGCAGAATAATTACCGAAACTAAACGAAGTGTTTTTATGTATTTATTAATATTATAACTACAATACAAAAAAACAGGGGAAGACTGGCTTCCCTTGGCCTCCAGGAGAAAACGCCACTGAGTTCAAGGATAATTCTCACCCACCTCTTGCTCTTGCCCTGCACGTGTTCCAGTTGAGCTGGTTTCTTCCAGCAGCTCAACTCGCTCCCTCATCATGAACGCAGGAGGCTGGCTGTATATCTGAACTCACGCCCTCATCATTCTCTTCATCATCTTGCACTTGTTCTAAGCTGCTGCTGATAATGCTCGTAGCAGCGCTGCTGCCAAAAAGGTCTGTCAATTTGCGACATGTATATGCTTCACCTGCGAGTGACTTCATCTTTTTTGTTCTCGCCTTCTCGGCCCCACCTTTTTCTTTTCGTTTTCTTTGATTTGTATCCATGTTTTTTTATTCTTCCTGTCTGCCGCGGCGTCTAATCCCTTCTCTTCGTGTGGCCGGTCTTTTTTTCTTCTTCGTGTGTTGTTGACAGATAAGAACCACACAACTGCATTAGCGGCCGCTGTCGCCCGTCAGCGCAACTTAAATGATGCCGTTAAACAATTTTTTTTTTAAGGGCCGGCCGGCCGTCAACGGCCCTTGACGACCGGCCGTTCTGTGGTTCTCCAGATTCTACAGATGGCCAGTCCGCCCCTGTCCTGAACTACAAATTATAAATGTAACATTTCAGCAATCAGCATTGAAACATGTGGCTATTGTAAATATGTTTGCCGACTTACAAATTAGTGAGATACATGTGCCTGTCGGGCACGCAGAATTTTGTAATCCTTGGTGGCACTGAGGAGAGGGCCACTCGCAAGTCCTGTTCAACAGAGAGCCGTGACCTCCTGTTGTTCTTCATGTAAATCAGAGTAGAGAACGCCAACTCCAGAGATGGGGTCGTTACTAAAAAAATGTAATATATTACATATTACTTTTAAAAAAAGTAATATATTAAACTACTTCGTTACTATCTACATAAAGTAACTCGTTATTTTACTCGCCGAGCACGTACGAACTGCACATGCGTGAGTGGCAATAACTTTCCTTACCAGCAGGCGGCGGTAGTGTGTATTTGTCATTCAAAACAGGCAACAACCGGAAGACAGAAGAAGAACAGACTACGTGATATGAACAAACAACAAATAGCGTGTGCGGTAGCTTCACCTTAGCATGTGTTCTTTGCAGGTGCTTGTTGAGGTTTGACCACGTGGTGTTTCCAGCAGTGGATAACAGCTTCTGGCCTGGGCACAGTTTGCACCTCACCGTCACATTCCTGTCTATTCTTCGGACGAACTCCAAATAATGGGCATACCTCCACCCCTCGAGAGTTATCGCTGTACAGCCATGTTTATGCAGCACTGCACGTGGAGATGTGGACGCACAAGTTACAGGTTACGTACATATAAACCTACAAAGTACTGATATAGTAAATTAAAAAATAATTATTTTTGTGTAGTTGTATATTGCAATAATAACGTATGGTTGTCACAAAATCCCACGGCAGACCTGGACTTGCCTCACGGCACACCAGTGTGCCGCGGCACACACCGTTTGGGAACCACTGCACTAGAGATTAACCAAACATGTATTTGCTTGCATAATATATGAGCAGTACTTCCACCACCTGTGTCATCAGACCTCACAATGAATGCGGGAATATGACTCTGCAAGATGTATTGCATGGAGCACCATCCTTGTGACTGCCTCCTCCTGATCACTGTACA